TTTAATCCTCACCCAAGGACATTTTTTGCATTCATCTTCAGATAGAGTGGGAGGGAGAGAGGGAGAAAGAGAGAGAGACACACACATTGACTGGCTGCCACCCACATGACCCCAACCAGCGCTGGGGGCAAACTGCAACTGAGGTATGTGCCCCTAGCGGGAACCGAACCCGGGACTCTCTGGTCTGCGGGCCGATACTCTAACCGCTGAGCCAAACCGGCCAGGACTCTCTCTTTTTTTTTGTTAGTCCTCATACAAGAATATTTCTTCCATTGATTTTTTAGAGAGAGTGGAAGGGAGGGGGGAAGAGAAACATCAATGTGAGAGAGACACATCTATTGGTTACCTTCCACATGCACCCCAACCAGGGCTGGAGATCAAACCTGCAACCCAGGCATGTGCCCTGACCAGGAACTGAACCCGCGACCCTCTGGTCCACGGGCTGACGCCCTAACTGCTGAGCAGAACAAGCTGCCCTTTGTCTCTTTAACTCATCAGTTCCTGGGTCTGCTGCAGCCCTGGGCCTCCTGATGGCCAGCAGTGGTTTCTGTAACTTCTTTAGAAAGGAATCAAGTTAAACTATGGCTTGAGAGTCAGATATTCAATGGTTAAGACTCATTGGGCTAATGGTTTGTTCAAGGGGATCTCAAGGGCGGGAAGCGGGTGGAAGAAGGGTGTGCATGCGGCCCCAGGGTCTGGGGGTTTGAGCCTCCTCGCCAGGTCAGAGCAGGTGACCTCCCTGGAGAAGAAGGGAGAGTGCTAGGCCGGGGAAGGAGGCCCCAGCTGGTGTGAGCGTGAAGCCTGGATTGAGTTCCCTTTTCTCCCTGACACTCTGAGCCAGACGGAGCTGGGGAAAGACTGTGAAGAGCCCACACTGAAAGGCCACTGTTAGCACCCCCGAACCTGTGAGCGCTGCCTGGGCTTGAACCCCAGAGCCCGGCCTCCTTTCTCATTATAACATCCTCTACAGTCTGCTCCCAATTTTTGTCCGTCCGTGAGAAATCCAGGTATTCTCACACCTTGGCCCCAGTTATGTACTGAATCATGTCCCCCCAGTTCATTTGTTGAAGCCTTAACACAGTGTGACTGTATTTGGAGGAAGGGTCTCTCAGGAGGTTAATTAATGTTAAGGGAGGTCATAGGGGTAGGGCCCTAATCCAGTCTGTCTGGTGTCTTTATTTATTTTTAAAATTTTATTGTTTTTGTTTATTAATGTTAGAGAAAGAGAGGAAGGGAGAGGGAGAGATAGAAACATCGATGAGAGAGAACATCGATGGGCCGCCTCCTGCATGCCCTCCACAGGGGATCGGGCCCACAACCTGGGCATGTGCCCTGACCAGGAATCAAACCGGCGACTTCTTGGTGCATGGGTCAATGCTCCACCACTGAGCCACGCCGGCCGGGCTGTCTGCTGTCTTTAGAAGAAGAGGACATGTAGACACAGAGACACCGGAGACGTGTGTGCCCAAGGGAAAGGCCGTGTGAGGACCGGAGAAGCCAGCCGCCGGCCAGGCGAGGAGAGAGGCCTCGGGAGAAAGCGACCCAGCCAGCACCTTCACTGTGGACTTCCATACTCCAGGACTGTCTGTGGTTGAGGCCACCGGTCGCATTTTGTTACGGCAGCTCAGGTGGACTAACATAGCCCCTAAGGATGCCACTCACACCCATTATGTAGCACAGTTCCAGCCAAGAAACATGGCAGAAAGCCCGGTGTGGGAGAGGTGACTGGGGAGAAGTAGTCTTGCTCTTGAAAGCGTACCTTGTTTTTCCTTCGCTTCCTATGCCCACGACAGAAATCTCTCACAACTTCCAAAGCACATGAGCATCAGTGGGGGCTCAGTTTGCCTACGTGCGCCAAACTGAAATGGCCACGAGGCCAGAGGGTAGCATGAATCTGACCAGATGGGAGACGGTAGCAGTGGTGAGGCCTAGGGTGGTCTGCAGTATGACACCGTGCCCACCAAAAACCAGTGCATGGGACACTAAGACCTCTGTGGCCCAGCTCGACAGCCCTGGAGGCGTCTGAGAATCAGGGGTGTACCTTGGTTTCTGACTGCTGTTGTAGCAAACTGCCACCAAATTAGGGGTTTTTAAAAAAATATCTTCACCCGAGGACATTTTTGCATTTATCTTCAGATAGAGCGGGAGGGAGAAAGGGAGGAAGAGAGAAAGAGAGAGAAACATCGATGTGAGAGAGACCCACTGACTGGCTGCCACCCACACCACCCCAACCGGGGCTGGGGACAAACTGCACCCGAGGAACTGAACCCGGGAACTGAACCGAGGAACTGAATCCATGGCCAACGCTCGAACCACTGAGCAGACCCGGCCCGGGCAAATTAGGGGCCTAAAGCAGCAGGATGGATTTTCTGACAGTGGAGTCCGGGGAAGGCGGCTTCTGGTCAGCACGCTAGCAGGGCCATGCAGCTGAGGAACCTCCTGAGTGTGCCATCCTGGCTAGGAAATGCCCAGAGCTGCGGCTGGAGAAACTGAGGCTGGTTGCAAAGGCCCTGTCAACTCTGGCTGAGGACAGGACTTTGTGGTCAAAACCAGAGACAGCACCTGAGGCCACTGGAGGGGGCGTGGCAGTATCAGTACTCGGGCTCAGGGCCAAGGTGAGAGGATGTGATGTGAGCCCAGTTCTGGGGATGGCTCCTTGGGGAGACAGGTCAGACGTCGCCTACTGGTGACTTGAAAGTGGGAGGAAGGTAGGGTTCCATTTGGCCAAGGGCATGAGATGGGTGTTGGAAGTCCCAGGCCAGGGACTGGGAAGTGGCTTCTGTGCAGATGGTGTGGGATGCCTGTCAGCACCAGGACAGGCCAGCCGGGCTGTGTGTGCCACTGGGCAGGCCAGGGGCTGCTCTGGTTGAGGCAGCGACGGATACCAGGTGATTCACGCACAGCGATGGGAGACCCACAGGAGTCAGAGTATTTCAGAATTGCTGGCAGGTTTTTTAGGCAGGGGTCGAGCAAGTCACTGTTCCCGAGACCCCCAGATCTACAGAAGCAGGGCTAGGTCCCGGTGTCCCGCCTCCCGGTCCAGGCCTGTCTCCCTGCTGCAGGGTGGTGAAGATGCCATCCTAGGTGCCCCTTGTCAGCCATGAGCGGTGCTGTCGGAGAAAGTCCCAGGGGTGGGGCTGGTGGCCCTTGAGCATCTACTGGGTCCTACGATGGGCAAGACGTCTTGGGGAGTACGCGAGTGTCAGCACCCAGGCTCCGGAGAGTCCAGGAGGAGGGGTGGGTCATGGTGCTTTTAGGTTTGCCCCACGTGTCCTGGGAGACCTGACGGAGCTGCTGTGAGCTGTCCTGGGCCTTTGAGGTTTTTTCAGGGGAGCCCCAGGCCACTTTCCCTCCCCAAGTTGCCCTACTCAGCTCGACCCTAGGGTCCCACTTGGAAGGCGCTGTGTACAGCTTATGGACTTTCCCTGAGGGGTGAGGCGCTGGGGGCTCAGCTGCTGGGGAAAGAGTGGAGGACAGTGTACCAGGAGGTCAGCATGACCGGCACATGCACGGTAGGGAGCGCCTGGCCCCCACTGCTGCTGCCTGTGGGTGCTAATGGGGCTCTTTCCCGAGCTCCCTGGCTCCCCTGGAGCCAGCTCCCTTGCTGACACAGGTGGCTGGATATCCCTGTCTTTTCCTGACTGTGCCCCCGAAGCTGTCTTCCATATCTCCTTTCTCATGCTTCCTAACATGGTCTTTTCTCTCTTCCCCCTTAACCTTCTCTCTCTCTCTCTTTTCAGACCAGGAGAGAGGAGAAGCCAGATGTTGGGGGTGAAAGAGGCCAAAGTCTCTGCCTCACAGCCCCAGGCAGTGGAGGGGTCAGGCACACACAGGCGCCAGATAGTCTGTGTTCTAATCCTGATCGCACAATTTACCAGCTGTGTGAACTTGCAAGTAACTTAACTGTTCTGTGCCTTGGTTTCCTCACCTGTAAAATGGGGGAATAACAATAGCGGCCATTGCTAGAAAGTTACTGGGAGGATTAAATGAGGTAATACATGCAGAGAGTTTAGGACAGTGACTGGCACCAGTTACTACCCAGTGCTGGCTCTCTCTGGCTGGTTCCCCTCCCCTCTCCCCTGCACCAGCCCAGGGCCCACGGGGGCAGAGCAGCCAAGAAGGGCCAGGAAGTGCCAGTTGAGCGGGGTGGGAGTGGAGGGGTGAGGGGAAGAGCTGGACACGGCAAACTGGTACTGCATTGTGCCCAGGCTGGAATCCGGAAGGGCAGGGGCAGCACCCGCTGCCACAGCTGCTCTAGTCCTTTTGCACTCCCCTTGGCTCTAGAGGTTCCCAACTGCTCTCACAGAGCCGGAGGGCCTCCGATCCATCGGCTGCTTTCAGTCTAGTCCCTTTTCAGTTCCCAGTCTCACAGGGAAGGGGCAGGGCGTAAGGTATTTAAAACTCAAAGAAATCCCTGCATAGGTTGAAGAAGACAGAGGGCAGAGGGAGAGATGGGGTGGGGGTGGGGGTGGGGGTGTCAAGGTGTGAGATGATTTGTAAAGTCTTGGGGGTTAAGGGCACGGACTGAATTGTATTACCTTTAAAAAAGTTTTTTTTTTTTTTTTTTTTTAATGTATTGATTTCAGAGAGAAGAAGGAAAAAGAAAGAGAAACATGGATTTGTTGTTCCACTTATCCATGCATTCATGCATTCATTGGTTGATTCTTGCATGTGCTCTGACTGGGAATCGAACCCTAAACCTTGGCGTAAGGGGAGGACACCCTAACCGGCTGAGCCACCGGGCCAGGACAGATGGATTGCATGACCTTCTGGGCTGGAAGCTGGCTGATGTGGAGTGGCTGTTACCTTTGAGGCAAGACAGACAAAGGGAGATGCTGCTCACAGATAAACCTTTTAATGACGGGCGTCTTGGTGGAATCTATTCAAAGAGGGGGGCCCCCGACGTTTGGGCTGCCATCCCCCCTTCTCCCTCTGCGTGGGTGGCCCAGGACCTGTAGGACCCTGGCTCCCTGAGGCTCTGTAAGGCCCATTCTCAGCGCTCAGAGTCCATTCCTCTCTCGCGCGGAGGCCTGGAGTGGGACCATCTGCTTCTGCTGCTCTTGCTGCCGCCGCTGCGGTCTCCCTCTCCTCCTGGGGGCAGAAGTGTGGTGCCTTAGGTATGTAGCCTGCAGGCCGGGGCTGTGCCTCAAACCCCCCCCCCCCCCCGAGCTGAGAGCCCCAGAAAGGACTCTAGGGGATTCAGTCAACTGGGGAAACAGGGACAAAGAGCCCTGGCCAGGGAAAGGAGGCCTGGGGTCGAGTCTCAGTGCCACCCCAGCCTGACGTGTGACCTGGGGTAAGTCCCTGCTCCTCTCTGGGTGGGAGCCCACCTGTTTTTCATGTCTTGCATCGTGTCGGGCAGCGGATAGCCCAGGGTCTCTGGCAGGAAGGCGGTGACAATGCTGGCAACCACGGGGACAGTGCCGTAGATAAAGAGAGGCATGGAGGGGAAGAGCTCGGCGGTCATGCTCACCAGTGGGCTTATGATGCTGCCCACGCGGGCCATGGTGTTGCCCATTCCCAGGCCTGTCTGCCTGTGGGGCCCACAAGGTGGGAGCTGGTTAGTGTTCGGCGTAAATGCTGAGGTGCTCAGGCAACCCTTGGTGCCTCCTCTGTTCCCCATTTGATCAGCAAACCAATTTGGCATTTGTTTTAGAGAGCAGGAGGAGGAGGAGGAGGAGGAAGAGGAGAAGGAGAAGGAAGAGTAAGAAGAAAGAAGGAAGAAGGAAGAAGAAAGACGAGAGAAGAAGAAACAGGTTGGGAAGGGCTCTGGCCTTACAATCAGGAGATTGATTTTGCCTCTGCCATTAACTGGCTTTGTGACCTCAGGCAAGTCCCTTTTCCTTTCTGGGCCTGAGTTTCCTTGGCAGTCAAATCAGACAGTGGAGTAAGGCCAGTGGTTCTCAGATCACCTGGGAGATTTTTGAGTTACGGTTGCCCCAGTCCCACACAAACAGACCTATTACAGTAGAATCCCCAGGGGAAGGGTCTGGAATGTGCAAGTTAAGATTAGGTTAAGAACATTCTCTCCCTGGCCAGTTTGGCTCAGTGGTTAGAGCGTCAGCCTGTGGTCCAGAGAGACCCAGGTTCAGTTCCCGCTAAGGGCATGTACCTCAGTTGCAGTTTGTCCCTGGCCCTGGTTGGTCGTGCGGGTGGCAGCCACTCGATGTGTCCCTTTCACGTCGATGTTTCTCTCTCTCTCTCTCTTCCACTCCCTCCCACTCTATCTGAACAAAAAATGGAAAAATGTCCTCCGGTGAAGATGAAAAAAAAAACACAAAAAACATTCTCTATGAGGGCAGAGGTTAAAAACATTGACTCAGGAGACAAATTGTTTGGATTCAAATCCAAGCTTTTTCACTTATAAGCTGTGTGAACTTGGGCAAATCACTTAACTTCTCTGGGGCTCAGTTTTTCATTTGTAAAATTGGAATAAGCATTACACTTGCCTGATAAGCTTGTTATGAAGATCAAAGAAGTTGATATTTGTGAAAAGTTTAAGACAGTTTGCCCTGGCCAACTGTCAGCAGTTAGAGCGTCAGCCCGCGGACCAATGAGTCACGGGTTTGATTCTGGTCAAGGGCATGTACCTCGGTTGCAATTCGTCCCCGGCCCTAGTTGGGGTTGTGCAGGAGGCAGCCACTCGATGTGTCCCTTTCATGTCAATGTTTCTCTCTCTCTCTCTTCCTCTCTCTCCCTCCCACTCTATTTGAACAAAAATGGAAAAATGTCCTCGAGTGAGGATAAAAAAAAAAGACAGTGCCTGGCGCATAGTCAATGGCTTGCATGATTATTTCCCCCTGAAATCCCATGAGGCACAGTACAGTGACCCTGACCCCTCAGGGTTCTCATGCCGAGGGGCTTGGGGAAGACTGACATTTCTTTGACATATCATGTGAATTTTGCATCCCATTCTTAAAACAGACACATGTTTCTGTTTCTTAATTCAAAGATCCTCTGCCAAATCCCAATACTCAGCAAAGCAGTGCCGCGGACAGAACAGCACGTCCCACAGTTACGAAGTGCGGCTCCTGTGATGGGAGCACTTTGATGTTTGCGGTCTTTGGTTTCAGACGTACTGCTTGGTTTATAGACGGAACTTAGATTTGGTGCCAAATTCTAACTTGTGCTTTGAAGATCAAGAGGGGACTTCTTCATCGCCCCAGAGGTGTGTCTTCTTGGCTCCCTACCCCGTCTCAGTTGGGCCACCTCCTGAGATCTAGGGTTAGGTAATGGCTTAGTGGGTAGTCAGTCCTGTGTTAGCCAGGTCACCATGTGTGTACTCAGTAGCTGCTATATACCTTGTACTGATGGGTGCTGGGAGGGGGTTTTGGGCTGGGCATACTGGATTATGCTCTGGGGTATGATCTGTGTGTGTAGGGATGTTTTATCCCAAGACACCCCCCCTCCCCAGCTGGCTCCCACTCACCGAATCATTGTGGGGTACAGCTCCCCAGTGTACAGAAAGATGCAATTGAAAGAGGAGGCCAGACAGCCCTTCCCCAGCACAGCAAGGGAGGTTCGGACAATGGACTGGTCTAGAGAGAAAGGGGGGGTGTCAGTAGGATCTTGGGAGCAGGGGCTGGGAACATTTGGCCCCTTTCCCTTGTGAGAAGTTAAGTCATGTCTGGGGATGAGGCCAAGGATGAAGGACATTGTGCTCACCCTGAGGTATCAAGCCATTGACCAGGAGGCAGATGCCCGCTAGAAGCAGTGAGGCTAACTGGGCAGGCCGGCGGCCCAGGTGGTTGATGACCAGGAAGCACACAAGCTTGGCTGGCAGGTCCACAGCTCCGAAGATGACTTGAATTAGGTAGATGCTAACCCCAAAACCTTGCAGGTCCATGACCAGCCCGTAGTAAGCAAAGCTAGTGGCAAACCTAGAGGGGAGGGATGAGGGGTATGGAGTTTGTTAGGAAGGCTTAAAGGTGGAGTGTCAAAATAGGGGTGAGCTGCAGAGTAAGTACCCTGCTTAAGGAGCTGGAATCTCTCTTGGCTAATCTTTCTTCAGACATTAATACCCAGTTTAAATATTGGAGTAGTCCTGCAATACCCCAAATTATTTTTACTTGGTTGCTATGTAGGACTTACATAGTTTTAGTCTTTATCTTATCTATTGAAACTGGGCTGAGGGAGGACAGGTGTATATCCAAGCCATATCTTTAGGGCCAAGGTGTGGGGAGAGGCAGGAGCCTTCCAGGACCTGTCCATGGTGCTGGAACGGGTGACGTGCTTATTAAGATGCTTCAAAAGTTGCCCTGGCCGGTTTGGTTCAGTGGTTAGAGCATTGGCCTGCGGTCCTGAGAGACCCGGGTTCAGTTCCCGCTAAGGGCACGTACCTCGGTTGCAGTTTGTCCCCGGCCCTGGTCGGTTGTGCGGGTGGCAGCCACTCCACATCGATGTTTCTCTCTCTCTCTGTTCCTCTCTCTCCCTCCCACTCTACCTGAACAAAAAATGGAAAAATGTCCTCGGGTGAGGATAAAAAAAAAAAAAAATGCTTCAAAAGTCCACAAAATGAAGCTCAGGTTACGGAATAAAACCCACAACCTAGAGTAAATCCAGAACTGGTAACAAAGAATCCATTGGTGGGATTGTTCGCTTTGACCTCGCTTTTCTGCACTGTCATGAGATTGCTGTGGTGACGGGATCAGGAGGGTAGTTGTAAGAAGGGAAACGGGGAGTGTGGCAATGGGAAAGGAAGACATTTGGCAGAAGTCAGCCTTAGCCGAGATGTACATCTGGAGATAACTTCAGGCATCTTATTGCCTGTGCCTGTGCTTCTGGCCAAGGCCAGGAAAGTCTCCAAATGTTTTGTACACCGGACTGGTCTCTGCCTTCATGATGTAATTCTGTTGACTCTGGGGGCCACTGATCCTGATGAGGTTTTTCTATATTGGAACAGAATTGGTAAAAGGAGAAGGTGGAGACATTGATGCCCAGTTTGGACTCTGGAAGTGAACTGAGGATGGAAGTCATCTGCTCCTTCAATACTCTTCCTGGTGGAGGAATTCTTCCCTTCATAGCAGGTCTGGTGGCTTTTCCTCCCTCTTGCCTGACTTTTCCCACCCTTGCACGCACTCTCCCCCCCTCATGGCTTGTCTTTCCCACCCATTGCATATATTCTCCCCCATCATGGCTTGTCTTTCCCACCCATTGCATATATTCTCCCCCATCATGGCTTGTCTTTCCCACCCATTGCATATATTCTCCCCCCATCAATACTTGTCTTTCCCACCCATTGCATATATTCTCCCCCATCATGGCTTGTCTTTCCCACCCATTGCATATATTCTCCCCCCATCATGGCTTGTCTTTCCCACCCATTGCATATATTCTCCCCCATCATGGCTTGTCTTTCCCACCCATTGCATATATTCTCCCCCCATCAATACTTGTCTTTCCCACCCATTGCATGCACTCTTGCCCTGTCAGCTGCTTGTCTTCTGGTCTGTCTGTCCAGCTCACCACAGCATGGAGAGGCAGAGGAAGAGGTGACGCAGGGTGGGGCAGCGCAGCAGCTCTATGGCTGAGGCCTGGCCTTTGCCCAGGGTCAGCTCCTTCTGCAGACTGGATTGGAGGACCTGCCAGAATGGGGAGGGCTCAGGGCCTGGCCTCCCTCAGGAGATCCTCAGTTCCCCCCAGCTTAAGCCCTAACTCAGGGAAGCCCTCTGGGTCCTGAGACCTGGGTTCAGGGTTTGGGGGTGGAGCCCTGGAGGGTATGATGGAAGGTGTTGAGGATCTCACCTCCATACTTAGCTTGGCCCCCTCGTCCTGCTTCCCATTGATCTGGGCCACTCTCTTCAGGGCCTTCAGGGCGAGGTCCAACCTTCCAGAGGAGGCGTACCAGCGTGCTGACTCGATGAAGAACCTGGGAGCAGGGGTGGGGGTGCGTGTTCGCGTGGCTTCAGTTCTCGCCGGCTGGGCTGGGGGGAGTGGGTGAGCTCTCTGGGGCTGCAGTGGGATTTTGCTGAAGTTTAGGAACCCAGGGGCTTTGTCAAATCCATTCTTCCAGGACCACAACGTGGTGCCCAGCTTAGTGACGACTCATTGTGCACCCAAGAACTGAGTTCTTGGGTGCTGGGTACAGGAGCGGCACAGGCAGGCTGGAGGCCTGGGAGAAGCGGAGGAAAGCCAGAGAACCGGGCCCTTGGGGAAAATCTCCCCCACAGCCTGTTTCCCCTCTGTCAGGCCGAGGCACCGGCCTGCGTTTGGCCTTCCCTGATTCTGTGGAGTCGGGTGTTCAGCAAGCTCTGGGGGACGCCTTGCCCCTTGCAGTCCTCTAGGCTTCTGTGGCACCCCCGCCCACCCTGGGCCCCACGCACCAGGAGTAGATGAAGAAGGCGAAAAAAGGCACGGAGACCAGCAGCTGCAGGTGGCGCCACTGAGGCACGGCGTAGGCCACGCCGGCCAGGACAAACTGGCCCAGGCTGAAGACATAGCCAGCCAGGGCGCCCACATGAGCCCGCGTGTGGATGGGCATCCATTCAAGATCTGGAAAGAGGGGTAGAGCAGAGTGGAGGCACTTCCTGAGTTGCCAGGCCCTGGGGCAGGCAAGACCCCCTTCTACATCCAAACCTTGGTCTGCCCCAAAGCTCAGTGACCACACATCAAATGAGGGTGGGTGCCATGGTAGCGGAGGGGGAAGGCTTTCAGTGGAGGTAGGGGTGAGGGTCCCCAGGGTTGTCCCCTCCCCTCCCCTCCCCTCCACTCCTCTGCTGAGTTTGGTTCCTCCCTGAGCTACAGTCCTGGCTAGGGCCTCTTCCCCCTTCAGAGTGTCTCTGACCACTCAGCCCATCAGCAGCAGCCTGGGCCAGACTTCAGCCTGGGTGGCCCGAGCAGCTGCAAGGAGGCAGCGGCTTTCCTCCGTCCTGCAGAGCCGAGGTGCGAGAGCGCCTCTCGGTGGTGATCTGAGAGGCCCGCTCTGCTCCTGGTGCACTCCTGGGGCGGTGGCTTGGAAGCTGTGCTGGGCTCTGGGGCTGCATTCTCTAGGTGTCCTGCCCCAGCTCTAGCCTAGTCCTGGTGGATTCCTTTAGTTCCGAGAATCCCAAATCCTTAGTTTCCCTTCCGGGCGTGAGGGATGGCCTGGGATGGCCCTCGCCTCAGGTTTCTCAGCTGGGGATCATGGGAAGGGGCAGCGTGGTTTATGGACAGGCCGTGCTCAGTCTATAAATGTTTGGACTCCATGAGGCTGGCTTGCCCTGTGTTAAAAATATTAGGATGAGTGGCCAACATTAAGAAATTGGGATATTTTACATTAATACAAAGGAGAGGGTGGAGATCTGTTAGCCCGGAGACCTCCTGGCCCTTCTGGGTGGGTGTGAGTCTCCATTAGGGACAGTCCTCCCCACTCCCTCTTGTACCTGGTCTGCTTCAGTCATTTATGGGGCCTGCCTGTCCCTAACAACCGTGTTTGCAAGCCCGTATCTAAATGAGGGGTCAGGATGGTGTAAGCCCCCGGGCCCCCAGAGGCTGTTACGTTGGCCAAAAGGGCAGACCCCGAGGACAGGCCCAGGGCAGGCAGAACTCAGGAGGGGTGGGTTGGGAGGGAAGGCTGGTGAGAGGAAAGTGGGTGGCACCGGCCCTGCCGTCCCATCATCCCTCACTCAGGGTCACACTGTTCAGGACGATGCCAGACGCCGCCATGCCCGAGAGGAGCCGGAAGGTGCAGTAGATGGGAAAGCTGGGAGCAAAGGCCGCGCAGACTCCTGACACCGCCATTTGCAGGTGGCTCAAGATCAGCATCTTCTGGCGGCCCAGCCTGTGGGAGGGAGGACCTGCGTCAGCAGTCCTGAGGACCGAGGGGCCAGGCTGGGCAGGGAGAGGCGTGCTTGCCCTGGGTAAGGTCCTGAGGGGGCTGGCGGATCCGTGAAGTATCATGAGGCTGGTGCTGGAGGTTCTCAAAACAGCCTCAGCTGGAATGCCAACTTCCCACCGAGGGCTCTAAGCCCAGCCGAGGAGTCCCCAGTCCCAGCCCAGCCCCTTGCCCTCCCCAGGACTGACCTGTCTCCCAGGCACCCGAAAATTGTGCCTCCGAGAAGCACCCCCACCATGTACAAGGACTGAGCCAGCTGGCGTAAGGCCCTGTGAGAGCACACGAGGTCCCACTGTGGGGAGAGGGGACAAGGGTCAGGCGGAGAAGAGCCACTCAGGCTGGCCCTCTGAGGTCTGGCACCCTGTTCCCCTGATGCTTCACTTTGTCTCCCTGGCCCCAGGAACCGAGAGACTCTCTCGACTCCCATATCTACCTTTTCTACAAAGGACTCGTCTTGAACTCCTTTCCTCTGTCTTCCCATTGTGGCCTCTGGAGAATCTAGGACCGTCTGTGTGTGTGAGTGTGTGTGTGTGTGTGTGTGTGTGTTTCTGTCTGTCTGCCTGTCTGTCTCAGAGGGGCAGGCACAGTCTGGAGGTGCATGGAGGGGCCCGGGCATCCTCACCTCGGTCACGATGGTGGAAGGGAAGGTGCTGTTGTCGTAGATCCAGCCATCGGTGCAGGGCTCTGTGGCCTCCGTGCTGTTGGCCTCTGTGCCGTTGGCAACGGGAAACCCCCAGGGTGGGGAGGTGAAACGGAGGCAGGACTCGGGCCGCCCCTGCCGGTCCCGGGGCAGCCAGGCCTCCAGCTCCCCGTCCTCGCTGAGGTTGGCGTGGGCAGGCGGGCGGCAGTGGTGGGTGGGGATGGCGGCCGTGAAGTTCTGCAGGGTGTTGTGGGAGGACATCAGGAGCAGGGGGAGGATCACCAGTGTGACTTGGATCTGCTGGAAGCGGCCGATGTCCCCCAACTGCTTCAGGAGGTCATTGAAGGCCATGGGGCCAGGCCCAGACGAGGGGCTGGGGGCGGAGGACTTCCAGCCCAGGATCTTTGTGTGTCTGCCTGCCTGCTGCCTCACTGGAGGAGAGGGGCTGCGTGGCTTCTGCCGCTGAGCTGCTCCTGGGGCTGAATCTGAGCCGGCCCGTTGGTGGGACAGCAGCCTGGTTGGCGCCCCTCCTTCCCTCTCTCTCCTGGTCCTTCCGTTTCCCTTGCAGACTCTTCTCACTTGGTGAGGGCTCAGCTTTCAGGTCCGCTGTGGCCCTGACCCCCTGCGTGGGCACTATTTAATCCTTGGTCTGGAGGGAAGGAGTTAAAGTGTGACTAAGTAGCAGGAGGATTAACCCTCCAACCATCCTGGTGTCTGTGGAATTTTTCCACTTGGGTATAAAGGGCAGGAGAGGGTGGACTGAGGTGAAAGTGGTGGAAGGGGATGGACTGTGACGGCCATCTGGGCATCTGAAGGCAGGAGGGGACAGGGTGGAACCTTTTTGTCTTCCTTTCAGTGAGAAGACTGGGTTCTGAGAAGTTGGTGGCCTCTTGAGGGGAGTCTGCCTTTTTTTGGTGGCCGGGATTCAAACTGTCTGTCTTTGGGAAGGGTTTCCAGAATACAGGATGCCCAGCTAATGTGAATATCAAATTAACATGTATATATATATATATACACACACACACACACACACACACACACACACACACACACACACACATTTTAGATCTTCACCAGAGGATATTTTTCCATTGATTTTTAGAGAGAGTGGGAGGGAGGGAGAGAGGGGGAGAGAGAGAGAGAGACATCAATGTGAGAGAGACACATTGATTGGTTGCCTTCTGCATGACCCTGACCAGGGCTGGGGACTGAACTGAAACCAAGGTACGACGTGCCCTTGACCAGAATCAAACCTGCGATTCTTGGCTCCGAGGGCAGATGCTCTAACCGCTGAGCAACCCGGCCAGGGCAGATTAACCAATACTTTCAGTTACACTGTTAAGTATGTCCCTAAAATCGCATGGGACATACTTACACTAAAAAATTATTCATTGATCTGAAATTCACAGTTAACTGGCGGCCATCCTGTACTCTCATTTGCTAAAATTGGCAACTCTAGTCTTTGGTCTTCTGGGGACAGCTCACATCCTATAGGACCTTGGCTTTGTTCAAGTAAAGAAACAGTAGAGGCCAGAGGCTGCTTTGGAAGGAGTGGGACTTCAGACCAATGTTGTACATGATGTAGGTCGATTTTCCAGTTCCTCAGCTTTAACCTTCTAGCTTATCCTGATTCAATCGTTTATTTTATTTTCAGCCACAGTTCTAAGACAGTCAATTGATTTCCTCCCACACTTGACTCCTGAGTTCCGGTCACTCATGATCAGGGCAGTGTTGAGCTGTGATTGAATGGGATCCAGTTGGTTGGCTCATGGGTTGGGTTTGCTAAGAGAGCAGGTCGCAGTTTCTTGCTTTTAATTTGCATGGGATATAAAACATGGACTCTGGAGTCAGCCTAATTGGATCCAAGTCCGCATTTTGCATTCACTGGCTGCGTAGCTGGGCCCGTTGCTGAGCCCCTCTGCACGCCAGTGTTCTCATTTGCAAGGTGGAGAGAAGAGTCGCGCTGGTCTCTTGTGTTGCTGGAGGGTTAAATGAGCTAATGCAGGGAAAGATCTTAAAGAAGCCCTGCTCTGTAGCTCAGGGATTCTGAGCTGTACTTATTAGTTATTTCTGGTAAAAAAGTAAAAGACTTTCATATTGGTTTTAGAGAGAAAATATGCCCATGCCCCATCTTATCGTAAGAACAGTGATTCTCCACTGAGGGTGATTTTGCCCCCCACCCCCCGGGGCATGTGGCAGTGTCTGGAGACATTTTTGGTTGTCACTGGCTTCTAGTGGGTAGAGTCCAGGGATGCTGCTGAACGTCCTACGATGAAAGGGACGGCCCCACACAACCAAGAATTGTCTGGGCCCAAAATGTCAATAGTAAGATTGAGAAATGCGGACTTAAAAGATGTCTTGGACTTATTTCACATAGTGATCAATCTCCTACCTGCTTGGCCAAGGGTATTCCAGTGATACTAACTCCTACCATAACAGATCTAAGCTTGCCCAGGCTCTCGTTCGAGTGGGAAGACTGTTTGCGAGGTGAAGACAAGGAGTCCTCCGCGTTTTGCTGAAGTGAAGTAGAACAGTCCGGGCTCCGAAGAGCCGTCGCTCTCTCCCTGCCCAGGCCTACCCTGGAGGGGCCAGATAGGGACCCCGCCTTCCTGTGTCCAGTCCAACATTCTTCTCCAGCATGTTCTGTCTCCATTGTTGGGCTGGGGGCTCCCATTTGTCCTGTAGGGCGTATTTCCACTTCCGGCCTCTGGCTGTCTCTTTCTGCGATCTGGTTCCTATTGACTGGCTCTCCACCCCTCTTCTTCAGATGTGTTGGCAAATGTCTGAACGTGACGGATGCTTAGGTTCCATAGTTTTACAGGAGGTACCCCAGACCCTGTACAAGTTAGTGGATGCAGAGGGCCATGAAGGGAAGAAGAGCTTCTCAGTTCTTCTGGGCACACCTCTCTGTCTTGTTGTTGAGAAGCAGCAGTTTGATCTCCAACTTCTCTCGTGAGGAGTCGAGACGCCCTGACATCGCTGTGCAGCTTCCACAAACTACGCTTCTGTGCATTAAGTGGGGAGGTGTTTATTGTCTATCAGGGCCCTGGGATACATGAGGTCTTAGACCTATTCTGTCTAACTTCAAAACCAGTCTCTGAACTGCTGTTCTAGAGGTATGGACTGGCCTGCGAAAGCGGTCTTAGAGGTCATCCAGTCTCCTATGTCCAGAAGAGAAGAGGGGGGCCCAGGGAGAGACGCGACTCGGTGCAGCCTCCCTCCTTCCGCCAGTGTTGGTTCTGGGCTGGGACCCAGTGGGTGTTCAGATGCCTGACAACTTCTCCAGGCCAAGGTATATAAATAAGAGCCTTGTGGCCTGGGGATGTGAGAACAGCTGGACAAACAGATTGGGGGTTCTGGGGCCAGTCTCCTGCCAGAACTTGGTGCCCTCGCAGGGGACTGGGCAGTGGGGAAGATGGGTCCCTCCAGGAACCTCCCTCTCTGAGCCTGTGCCCAGCCCTGCCTTGGAGAAGAGCTCCCCTAACTAGTTCCTGACCCACTTCCAGCCAACTTGAGTCTGGAAAAAGCTCAATTGGAGACTCAAGGGACTGCATTGTGTTAGGCTCCTGGGATCAGTTGGTTAGCAAGGGGAGTCCCCATGAGCCTTCCAGCTCATGGAGGGCTTCTAGATGGAAATGGTCACATGGCAAATGATTTGCAGAGCCAGGGACTATCCTCTAGGGACAAAGGGATCACATCTGGGGACTTCCAGTTGGCCAACAGCCACAGAACCACATGCCATCAGAGATGAATGCCACCACACAGGTGAAGAGTTCTCATTGGGCAGGTGAGGAGATGGAGGCTCAGAGCAGACAAGGCGTTTGTCCATGATCACACAGCAAGCAATTCTAGAACTCAATTCCATTGCTCTCTCCATCACACGAACAGCTATCACCTGTCCCAGATATTCTGAGACATCTGGATTTGGTATAATGTATTCTATGAAATAAATGGGATTTAAGGAATGTGGCTACGTGTGATTTTAATTTTTATTATTTTGTGACACCATTCAAATAAATAATTTACAGCTCAAAGAAAACGCTCCTACCCCATGCCCTGAGTGACTCTGAGCGCCTGCCAGGCCCAAAGCAACACTCTGAGCAAGGAGCCAGAGTGTGAGCTTTATGCCTATGGCCTGGCTACCCTGGCTGATGGATGGCCCCGAGGCTAAAAGTTCATCCAATGACTGCCGTTGGCCACTGCGGCCAGGAACCAATGAGGTGGCTCAGTATGAGGGCTCTGCCCGAGAGGTGCTGCGTATTAAAAGGTAATTCACAGAGCCATCTGGAGGCCCAGCTCAGGGCCAGAGAGGAAGGAGTAGGGGAGGCAGGAGGAAGCTGAGCTGGAGAGAGGGTGGAATCCGAAACGGGGCTTTGGGGGCAGTGAGAGGAATGGGTCCCGGGAAGGGTCGGTACATCCTGACGAGCACTCGGTTCACCAGGCGTCCTGATCGTGCGACTGGGAAGTATTTTGTTGGGCGTCTTTCTTTCCCTTCGTGGGTGTCTGCAAGAAACACCCCGAGACAGCACAGGGATGCTCGTGGCCAGGCATCCTGGGAGCCACCTTGAATTCTGGACGGCTGAAAGGTGGAGGCAGAATGAGGTGGCCAGTGTTCCTTACGAGCCCATTCTTCTCCCGCAGGTGGAGACCGGGGCAAGCCAAGGGGAGGCCTTGGTGGCCCCACTGTCAGCTGACCCTAAGCCAAGGGCATGGGGGTGGGCTGGGGAGAAGTCAGTGCTGGGCGTGGGTGAAGGGCGGGGCTAGGAGAAGGCTGGCGCAGTCCAGGGACTGAGAGGAGTGGAATGGAGCTGGGTTCAGGGTGCAAGGTCGGCGTGTTAAAGCAGCTGGGGGCCTGGTCGCGACAGGCCTTGTCACAGACCTTAAACTTGATCCCATTGGGAAGCCACAGCAAGGTTGAAGCAAGGGTGTAGTATGATCCCTTTCATGATCGGTAAGCTCTCTCTCAAATATTTAAATATAGATTTGAGAATAATTAGCTCTGTGGCCCATAATCCATGCCCTGGAGTATGTCTGAGTTGTACAATACGGCAGCCACTGGCCACTACTGAATGCTTGAGTTGAGCTAGTTGGAAAGAGATACGCCACAATGGTAAAAACACAGCGGAGTTTGAAGATTTAGTATGAATTAAAGGCTACAAAACATCTCACTGATAACTTTTATATTGATTACATATAAAAAGGTAATATATGGCCTTGGAAGGAGTGGCCCAGTGGTTAGAGATCGGCCCACACACTGAAGTGTCATGCGTTTGATTCCCAGTCAAAGGCTCGTATCTGGGTTGCAGGTTCCATCCCTGGCCCTGGTTGGGGTGCATGTGGGAGGCAACCAACTGAGGTGTCTCTCTCTCCCCACCTCCCACTCTCTCTCAAAAGAAAGAAATAAGAAATGGTAACATATGGATCTACTGGGTTAAATACAATGTATTGTTATTACTCTATCTAATATACTATTATTAAAATTAATTTCACTTTTAAAGAAGTAGCTACTAGGAATTTCTAACGGACATAGACGGCTTGTGTTACATCTCCACCGGACGTGCTGGGAGGCCGTGAGAGGAAAAGCGGCTTCAGGGGACCAGGAGGAAGAGCACCTGCTTTAGGAATTGTTTGGTTATGGGAACGGAAATCCTCGAGTCTAACTTAAACAGAAAGGGAACCCTATTTGGAGAACTCAGGGCTATTTACTAGAACCTAGGGTCAGAAAGTGTATTCAGGGCTGATCCGGATCTGGGACCTGGAACCATCAAGAATCAGTGCAAGGGGAAAACATTTTTTTGTTTCTTTGTTTTTTTTTTGGTACGTGCCCTAGCAGGAACCGAACCCGGGACTCTCTGGTCCTCAGGCTGACGCTCCAACCGCTGAGCCAAACCGGCCAGGGCAGTGTAGACGGTCTTACCACGTCGCCCCCTGCTCTCCTTCCCCTGTGCACCTGCTCCATCCTCTGCTCGGCTTGCGTCTGGACCAGCCCACGCTCGTGCTAGCACGCCTGCCCAGGACCAGACCAGCACATGGACTAGACCTTCACACTCAAATCCCAGCCCAGGACCGAGCGTGTGATTGTCGAGATTTGGATCAGCAGTGGCCTCTGGGCCTGTCGGTCATGACCCGAGGGGTAGGGTCCTGTAACTGTTTAGTTAGTAGGTTCTGGGGTGGTAGACCCTTGAGGAAACCCCAAGGGAGATGGAGAAGGAGCAGTCAGATTGCAAGCACGCGACCTCTCAGAAGCCCAGGAAGGAGGGCGAGGCCAACAGAACCCCATCTGCTGAGAGTCCGAGTAGGACAAGGGACATAAAATGAACTGTGGGCGAGAGGGGCAAGGCGTGTCCCTGGTGTTTCAGGGAGGCGTGGGAGCCAGAGTGCAGCACCGAGATGTTCGAGGTTAGAAAGTGCAGGCAGACCCCTCCTCTCCAGAGCTTGTCAGTGAACAAGGGAAAGACAGTGTAGGCTCTGGACGGAGAGACGGCATCCAGGGAGGGCTTGTTTGCTGCTTTGGTTTTTGCTGAGATAGGAGAGGCTTGAGCTTAACTGGTGATAGGAGGAACCCGGAGGGCGGGGTGGGCGGACCCGAGGGGGAAAGCGGATAGCTGCTGGTGGGAGAGGCTGGGTGCAGGGTCCCCATGCGAGGACTGGACGTACAAGGGCACTAGGGAAACATGGCAGCAGACATCAAAGGCAGTCAGCTTTGGCTGACATTTTCTCAGTTAAACAGAAGACAAAGCTGTCTGGTGGGCATGGGGCTGGGACGTGGCTCAGAGACTTGGGGCAAGCAGGGCAGGAGGTTGGGATTGGAGGAGCCGTTCTGTCTGCAGCCACTCCGGGTTTGTCCCATCGTCTGCTCACCCGCACTCTGGGGCATGCAGACGCACACGTGACATTCCCTAGCCCAGGACTCGCTACCAACTGCACTGTGTCCCGGCCAAATTCGTATGTGGAAGCCCTAACTTCCAATGCTATGGTAATAGGAGATGGGGCCTTTGGGAGAGAATTAGGGTTACATGAGGTCATGAGGGTGGGGCCATCAGGATGAGGTGCCCTTATGGAAGAGACACCAGAAAACTTGTCTCCTCTCTCCCTCCTCCTTGTGAGGATACACTTAGAAGGGGGCTAACTGCAAGCCAGGAAGAGAGCCCTAACCAGGACCTGACTGCCAGCACCTTGGTTTTGGACTTCCCCGCTTCCAGAACTGTGAGCAAGAAGTGTTTGTGGTTTGTGTGACCCAGTCTGTGGCATGTTGTTATAACAGATCGAGCAGACTAATATGTAAGGTTTGGTGTGTACATACCTCATGCAGGTGTAAATCCACATCAGCCCAGCTTGCATGTACCTGCGTGCCCACACTTTCTTGTACGTCAAGTACAGATAATGGATGCACAGCTCACATGTCCATGCAGTGGCCAGCCCACCTCCTTCCCCCTTCCTGAGCAGCATGAATTTTCCATTGGTGTTTATTGAAACCTCCTATTAAAGGAAGGGGTGGAGGGCAAAACAGGGAGGGAGGCTGTCTTCGTTAGGATTGAGCCGAGGGTCCAGGACTTCAGGGGAAGGGAGCTGGAACAACAGGGACAGTACTGTGGGGAAGGCTGGACCGAAGACTGGCAGGGCCTGGGTTGCAGAGAGAACGAGGCAAGGGGTATGGGAAGGCTGGTGGTGGAATCTTTGAACTGGTCAGGGCTGGGCTGGGAGATGTGATGGTGGTGGAGATACTTTCACCGAGATCTCAGAAGACTTGTTCTAAGAGCATGGACTTGCCCTGGCTCCCCCAAGATGCCCGTGGAGCCCAGAGGCAGGCAGAGACCTGGCTGGGATTCGTCTCTGGAGGCAGGGAAAGGGAGGTCTGCTGCCTTCAGCTGGGGCCGGGGTCTGGTCCACAAGTCTGCAGAGGGATCCTCTGGGAGTCTTTTTCTGCTTCTGGCTCCTGCTTCGGCTCCTTTGCCCTTGGAGACCTAGGGGAAGAAAGCTCAGAAAGAGCCCGGGGCCGAGACCTGCTTCCCCAAGGAGGAAAAGCGATGAGGCCAGAGGCAGAGGACTGACCATTTTTCCAAGTCTTCGATAGTCTCTGGCAACGGTTGATTGAGGGTCTCAGGCAGGAAGAAGGAAGCACTGCTTCCCAGGAGGGCGATGGTTCCGAAAATGAGATTGGGGATGAAGGGACGCACGTCCCCCGTGATCTTCACCAGTGGGGCCATCATGCTTCCCGCTCGAGTCAACACGTTAGCCATGCCCATGCCTGTTTGCCTGGGAGAGTTCAGAGCAGGGATTGGCAACCTGTGTGCGGGGTTCTTAAAGGACAGCTCAGGGACCCCTGTGCATGGGGCAGGAGGATGCACAATCCCACCTGACCCAGGCCCAGCACCTACCGGATGACTGTGGGGTATAGCTCACTCGTGTAGAGGTAGAGGCAGCTGAAGGAGCCGGACAGGCATCCCTTCCCAAACACAGCCAGTACTATCCTCAGGGTCTGCGAGTCTGCAGAGGGAAGAACACACGGTGAGCTTAGGAGGACCTGAGTGTTCTACCTCCTCAGCAGAACTTGTCTGTCTTTTCACTTTGGCTGCCAGGAAGCTCAGATCCAAACTTAAAACCAAGGCCGGCTGGTGTGGCTCAGTGGTTGAGCATCGACCCATGCACCAAGAGGTCTCCGGTTTGATTCCCAGTCAGGGCACATGTCCAGGTTGTGGGCCAAATCCCCAGTTGGGGGGATGCAGGAGGTGGCCAATTGATGTTCTCTCTCTCTCTCCCTCCGCCTTCTTCTCTCTCTAAAATCAATAAAGAAATTAAAAACCAAACCAAACCAAGCAATAGTTACTCTGCTATTCCTAGGGCTTTGCAGGTTTGGGTCCTGCTGTATGTGTGTTGTTCCCTGCCTCTGACTCCCTGTTCTCATTTATATTTTGTTGTATATGTTCTTGTCCTAAAATATCTCCAGTTCCTTTGGAAGAATCTAGGTGCATCCACACAGAAACATCCATACACAATGAAAGTGGCTTTTCCAAGGTCACGGTGGAGTAGGTGGCGGGTCTCCCATGAGCCCTGGGCTCCAGTGTGCCTCCCTCCCTGCTTGTTTTCTCCAGCAATGCCACCCAGGCCATGCCCAACCCTTGAGAAATTCGGCACTGTCCAGACAGCCACACTTTCCAGAGTCAAATCTAGACAGGACCTTTGATGTTATCTAGTCCAATTGGGTTATTTTCTGCATGAGAGATGTGAGCCCCCGAGAGCACAGAGACCTACTCAAGGTAACAGTGAATTCGAGACAGTCAGCAGAACCGGAGTCCCCGGCGCGGCGCTCCCCAGCCCGTGGCCACCTGTGAAGTCCAGACACACCGGCCTGCACGGCTCAGCCCGCTGCAGAGTGCTCTGGGGCAGTTCCGGCTTCTCACCTGAGGGCACTAAGATGAGAGCCAGGATGGACCCCCCTGCCAGGAGTAGGATGGTGACCTCGGTCGTGTGCCGGCCCAGATAGCTCATGGAGAGGAAGGTGATGAACTTGGCTGGGATGTCAATCCCGCCAAAGATGATCTGGAGGAGGTAGAGGTTGACTCCAAACTCTTCCACACCCATAGCCAAACTGTAGTAGGAGAAACCGGTGGCAAACCTGAAGGGCAGGGAGGGATCGATGAGCACCTGCTGCAGGCTGGGGCCGTTCCCCACACGGGCCATCGGGTCACCAGGATGACGAATAGTTTCATTTTTGTCCCAACTGCAACGGATTGGTAGGGGCTGCTTGAATGCCATTTTGAGGTCTCTGCAACCGTGCGTGAGCTCAGTGAGAAAGTGCCTGGATCGATTGCTTATGTCTAACACGGGCACGGTCCAGGATGTGGTGGCAAAGATGCCGCAGAATTGACTCCAGAGAATTATCAGGGCTGGAGGACTTTCGGAGACCGAGGGAGGCACTACGTGGTCTCTCTTGGTTGGGACATAGTTTACCATCCAGAGTGGGGGAGGCGCCCCCTCCCTTCCAGAAGTGTGGGGTCGCCTTTGAAGAGCTCCTGGACAAATTGAGTCTTGTTTAGGGGTGGCCAGGATGAGAAGACCTCGGAGCCAGGTCGCAGGGAGGGCTCTGAAGGAGCCGTGGGGTGTCAGACGAAAGAGAAGACTCGGGAAACAGTTCTGTCCTCAAGCCTGCAGCCCTGAGGCTGGCCTCACTGGTGGGTGTCCGAGGGCAGGGGCAGACAGGGGGCAGGGAGGTACAGCATGGGCTGGCGAAGGGGTTTGGAGCATTTGCCCTGTGGGTGGAGGCTGTGACCCCCGAGGAAAGCAGAGGCTGATGCCCGGACCTGGCTGGGGCTGGGCTGGGCTGGGCAGCCCAGGGGAGGGGTCTCCTGACCTAGGAGCCCTAGGCTTTGCTCACCTGAAAGGTGAACCTGCTGGAGGCCTTGCTCGGCACCCTGCCTGGCAGGGGTCTAGGGCATGGGCAGGGAAGGGTGGTGGGTTACCAGGCCAGGGAAACGCAGAAGGTCACACGGCGCAGGAAGGGGGTCCGGAACAGGTCGGCTGCGCTGTACTTGGCCTTGGCCAAGGAGGTCTCCTTCTGCAGGTTGAGTTGAAGCTCCTTGGGGCAGAAGGAGGGGAGGGGTGCCATTAGCGAGCAGCTGGCAGGCAGCAGGGGAGGAGGAACAGTGCAGGCCTGGGGTCTCGACAGGAGCTTGCTTGGAGCGTCAGACGGGAGGTGGGCTTGCGAGCAGGGGAAGAGAGGCAAGAGCAGGGCCCCGTGTGCTGCCCCAGACTACAGTCCTCCTCGGCCCCTACCTCCAGGCTGAGTTTTTCTCCCTCCTCCTTCTTGCCGTTGAAGGCAGCCACCCACTGGAGGATCTTCAGGGCTTTCAGAGACTTTCCAGACAGGGCCATCCAGCGTATGGACTCTGGTATCCACCTGTGGGCTAGGATCAAATCACAGGGGCTCCCCCATGCCAGAGCCCCCCAAGAGGCTGGAGGACGATGCAGAGCAAGGGTCAAGGGGTAGGAGGAGGCCGTACTGCAGATTTCATGGAATTTAAACTTGGTCAAGCTTTGCCCCTGGGCTGCCTGCAGCCAGCAAATCCCAGCGTTCCCTTCTTCCCCTTCCAGAAGAGCTTTCCTCTGCCCCTACGCGAGCTGCTTGTTGTCGTTGGGTGTGTTCCTCAGCTAGGAGCCTCGGGCCCCAGGCCAGGCCAGCTGGAAGGTTCTGGTGTCCACCTCCCCAGCTTTCCCTGGGCTGCATTCCAGGTCCTGGGTGAAGGGGCAGCTTGGAAAGGCGGCTAAGCTTAGGGCTGTGGTCTCGGAAGTGGGTTTGAGGACCCTTAGATTCTCCCTGCAAAGACCAGCTCTGCTGGGGGGAGTGTGAGTGTAGGGGGTGCAAGGACAGCATGGGGTCTTGGGATGAGCAAGTGGGCAGTCAGCCCCACCCTCCCGCCCTCTGGGCTGTACTTTTGGGGTTGGTTCCCCCTGAGCAGTCCCTGAGGGCCACTAGGCATGGGGAGAGAGGAATGATGTTTGGGAAAGTCTGATCTGAGTTGAAATCCACTCCAGCTGCAGCCCCCTAAGGCGCCCAGGACCTGTCTCCAGCAAGGCCCTTGGGGGCGTGGACACTCGTCACCTGGCCTCAGACCCCTGGGCTCTGCTGATAGTGGTGGCTTCCAGGCCCGTTGCTACCCCTCTCCTGGCCTGAGAGTTTTCTCAGCCCGCTCTCCAGGAACCTCAGTGACTTCCTCCCAGTCACCGCAGCCCGGGGCTGAACTCCACCCTCCTCTCCCGGAGAATAATGCCAACCACAGCTCCCAAGGAGTGAGCCTTCCTGTGGCCAGGCACGTGTGGCTCTGGGTGAGGCTTAGCTCACGTCACACAGCAAAGGGGGCCCGGCTCTCGACTGTACCCTGTTGATCCCGCCATTGTTTCAACTCTTTGCTCATCCTCTGCTTCCGTTCCAGGCTGTGGACATTTCCTGGCTCCGCCCTGCACCCTGACAACCTCCCTCACCCCAAGACTGCCCATCCACCCCCTCTAGAGGCTTCCATTTCTCATTTCCAAATGGAGGTCCCATCCCCGTTCTGTATCGTTTTGTCACCTTCGGGATGGCTTCACTGCTCCGAGCCTCGGTTTCCTCATCTGTGACCCAGGAACAACCATGCCCCTTCGTGCAGAGGTGCCGTGCGATCGGAGGCCGCGCAGGGCGATGCCCAGAGCAGGCTCTTCACATGCTAAGTGCTCAGCGAAGCGCTGCTCCGAGATGTGTTTCTTTTCCCCAGTTCGTTTATTATTTCCTGTTCATCGGCTCCAACTGCCTTCTGGAGACTTGTTTCCCGTGTTCAATGTGTCCCCAGATTTGACTTGTTAAGAATGAGCCCTTGACCTGTTTGGGGTCCCTGACCCGGGCGCCTCGTTCTCCCAGGTTCTCGGGCTCTGAGCTTTCCTCTCCGTCCCACCTCAGCCCCAGAGGTCCCCAAGCTCTGTGGGTTTCTCCTTCAAAATCCCTCTCAGACTTGTCCCCTGGATCCATCTACCTACACAGTTGTCTCCCCCTGTCTCTTGCCCTTGCTCCTCGAGCCTGGGTTTCTGTGTTGTTACTTCCCAGACGGAAGCTTGGCCGGGCCCCTCGGCACCATGGACGCTTTCAGAGGCCGGTCTCTGGTGCTCCCCGTGGGGCTGAGGCCTCCTGGCTTTCTGTGTCCTCCACGACCTGGCCCCGTCCTGTCCTTCTCAACTCACCCCTTCTGCTGCAGGTAGAGACACCTGCTCCCTCCTGCACCGCGCCTCAGTGCAGGTAACTCCTCTTCCCTGGAGCACCCTTCCTCACTGGGACAGGGAAGGCCTGGGACAGAGGTGGCCAGCCTGACAGGCATGGGCTTCCCCTGTTTGGCCCTGGTGGGCCTACAGAGGGGCGTGAGGGGAGAGGGCTACATACCAGGACAACAGGAAGAAGGCGAAGAAGGGAACAGACACGGTAAACTGTAGCCAGCGCCACTGGGGGATGGCGTAGGCCAGACCGGTCAGAATGAACTGGCCAAAGGTGTAGAAGTAGCCGATCCAGATCGTCATGATGGCCCGCAGCCGGGTGGACACCCACTCGACAACTGCAGGAGGAGCCCAAGGACGAGATTAGAGTCTTTCTGGGCCCTGGGCACCTCCCTGTGAAGGGGCACCAGCTCCTGTCCCCCACTGGCTACTTGATCTGACTCTGATCCTAAGAGTTCATTGACCCCATTTTACAGATGCTGTGACTGAGGTTCGAGAAGGTAGGACTCAGACGGACTCCCAAGCCCATGCTCTTGACTGCCTCTCCAGTGGTAAGTGACTGCCCTTGTTTTGCCTCAATTTCCTCATCTGTATAATGGGAATAATAGCATCACCTACTTCTGTGGGTGGACTGAATGAGGTCAGGTGCCTGGCAGAGTGTCAGGGTAAATGCTCAGTATTGACAGCTGCTGCTATTATACGTGTTGTCATGTTCAGAGGGGGCTTCTGAGGGCCTTGGAGGGGCAGCACCTGGCTTTACCGAGCCAGGCCCAGGCCCCCTTCTCTCCGCTCAGGCCGAGGCTCCCCTGCCCCCTTCCCCTGCGGCTCACTCAGGATCATGGTGCTCAGGGTAACACCTGCCAAGCTGATGCCACACAGGAAGCGCGAGACCATGTAGACGGGTAACGTGGGGCTGAAGGCCGCGCCAGAGCCGCTGGCCGCCAGCAGCAGGTAGCTGCAGGACAGGATGGGCTTTCGGCCAAACCTGCAGCTCAAAGGAGAGGAGGGGCCGGGTTAGCCACTGCGAGCCAGCTGAGGGGAGTGACTGAGCAGGCCTGGAGCAAAGGGTTGCACCTCCTGCGTCCCAGAGTGCTGGGCGGGCACGTAACTTCCTCCCCAGACAGAGCCCTGCTTGTAATTGCTTTTATAAAAACAAGTTTGCAGTGAGAGGTGTTAGTTAATGAGTGATCTTCTCCACCTCCAGCTTTGCTGCCTGAGCAGGGGTCAAAGAGTCAACCCATCTCGAAGCAGTCCACCTACCCCACCCTGACTGCCACGCAGCCTCTGCGTGATGTCCTCAAACCTGGCAGCTTCCCCACTGGGTCTGGGGAGGCTGGAAGACTCAAGTCACAAGGACTTTGGGTCCAAGAGAAGGCTGTGGCCCAGAGAAGGATTGGGACTTGCCCAAGGCTGCACAGCAAGGACCACCCCTCCTACCTCCCCCTGCTCTTTGCCTCTTTGGGGGTTCATGGATGGAGCGGAGAGGCAGAGTCATTGTCATGGGTTGTGCCCCCGCTGAGGAGGCCCCAGTGTCTCACCTGTCAGACAGGCTTCCCAGGACGATGCCCCCGACCAGTGTGCCCGCCATGAACACAGACTGGGCCATCTCCTTCAGCTTCTTAGAGTCGCACACCATGTCCCACTGTGCAAGAGAAAGGGAGCACAGCGGGGCTCAGTGCAGCCCCAGCCATGCTCAGCCTGCACCCCCAACTGCGCGTTCACTCTCCAGCGCCCCCACCTGACTGCTCTGAGCCTGGCCCCCCGCCTCTCAGCATTTTCCCTTTCAGCCTGGACCCCGGCTCCTTAGGTTCGCCTGTGGCTCTTTGGGTCCCTGACCTATTGTAATGACAACATCCCTCCAGCATGTGTGGCCTGTCATAGGACTTACAAAGTCTGCTCAGCTGTCACACCCAGGTGTGCCCTCAGCCCCTCCGAGCCTGCCTGCGTCCCTGTGGCTCCCCGCTTGTCACCTCATAGGTCCAAGGTCAGTTCCTTGGTTGTACCCTCGAACTCACACCCTCTTTCAATACTGAGCACATGGGGACCTTCCTCCATTGATGCCACCTCGTTCCATCCCACATCCTCACTCTCTCACTGGCTCCTGACCCCTCCTCACCAGCCTGTGCTCGAACCTCTCTGTCTTAAACCTCTCTTCCCTCCACGTTCGCTCCATTCCTCCCTCCCCTTTAAGGCCAAAGCTCGTGCATGGGGCGCTACCCTGCCAGCACCCCATCCTCACCTCCCGCTTCTTCCTCAGTTCTGCCTCTGCCGCTCCCCCGGAACTGTGTGGCCCAAAGCCACCGACGGTGTCTTTCCCACCAAATCAGGGGGACCATCTGTGTCCTGACCTGACATGGCCTCTGCCGACCTCTCCCTCCACGGCTTCCTTTGTTTCTACCCCGTAAGTTTCCCCAGGCCCCTCTCGCATCTTCCTCTCTTGTTATCCACTTCCCCCGGGAAATGCCATCGGCTCCTGTGGTTTCAATGACTACTTCCTCTGGTCCGCAGGCCGAGGCTCCAACCGCTGAGCCAAACCGGCCAGGGCCCAATGACTACTTTCTGATGAAGACTCCAAATCCGTATCTTCAGCCCAAGCTTTCTTCTGGCCTGGAGACCAGGAGATTCGGCTGCCTGCCTGAGATCTCCGCGCGGGTGCTGGGTGCCCGCGGGTGTCTCGCGGTCAGCTCGCCACCCTCCTGCCCGCGGGTGTCGGTCTCAGTGCCTGGTGACCCTCTTTCGGGCCTTCCTCACCCACGTCACTATCACTCAGCCCTCGTTTCTGACGTTTTCATAGTTCTGGAATCTGGATTCTTCCATTTCCACGTCTCCTACCTCAGTGCCGGTCTCCCGATCTCGCACTTGGATGAAGAGCGACAGCTGATACTTATCGGGGGTTCAGGTGCGCCAGGCACCTTGCAGGCCTATGTGCTTTCAATCTGCACCACGGCCTTATGCTGTTGCTCTGTCACCCCCAATCCCCAGACGAGGAAGCAGACCGTCTCCCCACAGGTCTCCCAGCCTTCGAGCTCAGTGTCTCCTGTCCGTCCTTTCCCTGATCATCTCAGGGATGTCCTAAAACACCTCTCAGCTCAGGCTCCTGTCTTGCCTCAAGTGCTCACTGGCTTCCTTCTGGCCCTTTGGGTAAAGAGACAGTGCTATTTACACAGATGTATCAAGGCCTCATGCCCTGGCCCCTGCCCACCTATCTGGTCTAATCTCCTGCTAATCCCCGTCGTGCACCCTTTGTCCATTACGTGTGCAATGAAGTGGAGAGTCTGTTTCACTAGAAATGCCTCACAAGAATGTTTGGAAGTGAAACAGCGTGGGGGAAGAGCCACACTTTCCTCTGCTGGCAGTAAGGAGAACGGAGACATGTGGATGAGACTCCGGTCCTCCAGCTGTCCCAGAATGGCCCAGCACGGCCAGCGACCCACTGGGCTCTCCTGGCTGGAAAGGGAGCCTACATGCTGTGCACATGGGATGGGGCAGGGAGCAGGGCGAAGGAGGCAGGGAGGGGTGTGTCTGGAGAGACTTCTGGTACTTGGTGGCACGCTGCTGTGTAAGGCATGCTTTGTCCCTTCCTGCTGGTGGAATGGTGACAACGAGAGCAGCTCTGGAAGCTCTGTGTTGAAGATGACAGCTGCCATCACTCGGGGTCCTTGAATGACCTTATGGAGCAGAGTTGCCCATCGGCCTGAATAGCTCACCTTAGAACTACTGCATGAGAAAGAGAAACACTTCTAGTTCCCTTAAGCCACTGAATCATTGCTTTGTCATAGCAGTCTCACCTCTCCTGATACATGCCACGAGATGGAAATTTGCAAATGGGAATTTGATTCCCGTCCCCGCAGCCTCCATGCTATTTAGTGCTTTAGGAAATGAGTCTGTTTGGATGGTGGGAGGGTCAATGTTTGGAGTAGTTTAAGGCGGCTGCCCTGCCCCACTGTCAGAGACTGGATCTGCTGGGCCCTGGTTTCTGTCATGGCGCTGGTGATGAGTGGACTTGAGAGCACCTGTCGCAAGCCAATTTCTTCCACAACATTGGAAAGTCATGGTTGGACGTTGAGTCCCTTTAAAACATGCCACAATCCTTACAAGTCTCTGCAGAGTCTGCTCCCAACTTTATCCTCAATACCTCTGCTCTCACTTCTCCTGTCTCCCCACATATTCCACTCCAGGTACAGCTTGCTCCTTCAGTGCCTTTAAACCTTTGCTCGGACGTTCTCTGTCCAGTGAGAACTTCCTCGACCACCGTATTTAAAATGATAGCCCCCCAGGTATACCTCTCTACCCGACTTTATTTTCTCTCTCGTGCTTACACCATGCATTACATTTTACATAGTTTTCTATTTGTGTGTGTGTCTCTGCCAAGAATGCTATCTCGATGAGGTGAGACTTTCAGTCTGTCTTGTTCACTATGTTACTTCTATTGCCCAGAACCTAGCAGCCCCTCAGTGAATACTTGTGGAATCGAATGAGTGAACATTCCTCAGCAAGAACGGCGGGATGGAGAGCCTTAGAGATGTAGGGGTGTGCTGATGTCTAAATGAGAGGTCATAGGGTGCCCTCCAAGTGTTCTGTGGAGGGCTGTGTCCCTTCACCAGGAAGCGCGTGTCAGGGTGGAGAGGGTCTAGGCTGTGCGTATCAAATCATCCACATGTTAGCAAGAAGAACGAAAACGCTCTCAACCAGACTGAAAAAAATCCTCTGGAAAATTTCTACTGGGAATGGTAAATGGCGTTTTAAAGCTCAGAAAGAGGAGTACTTTGTGGTTAAATATTAAAACAGTCTTGGCCTTAATTGCACGCTGAGTTGCTTTGAGAGATTTCACGGTGAGTGGAACCCATCAGAACTGATGGTAACAACACGGCTACGGCCGCCCTGCAGGTCAACACACGTCCCCGGGGCTCCTGGGATGTGCAGTTGGGTTGGAGTGTGTCTCCCCAAAAGATGGGCTGAAGTCCTAACTCCCAGTACCTCAGAATGTGACCTTATTTGAAAATAGGGCTGTTGCAGATGAAATTAGTTAAGACGAGGTCATACTGGGGTCAGTACGGACCCTTCGTCTAATCTGACTGGTGTTCTTGTAAGAAGAGAAGAGGTAGACGCAGGGATAACACCACATGACAATGGAGGCAGAGGCCGGAGTGATGTAGCTGTAAGCCAAGGATGCCAAGGACCACAACAACTGCCAGAGATGGGAGAGGGAAGAAAGGATTCTTCCCAGAGCCTTGTGAGAGCGCGTGCCTACACCTTGGGTTTGGACTTCTGGTCCGCAGAACTGTGAGACAAGCTGTTTCTTCTTTGTTATGGGAACCCGAGGAGATGAATATACTGTGTGATTCCTGTCTGTGTGAAGTACCTGCTGGCGTGGTAGGTGGTGATGGGAAGGGATGGAGAACAGAAGCGCATGGCTACAAAGTAACTCGATTCAGAGAGAACTGGAGAGATCTTAAGGGCCTCCTTGAATGTTGGGGGTAGGGAAAGACACTTAGAGAGATTTGGGCCATGCTTTCTGTGTGGTTAGCTGTGCAAAACTCTTAAGAAGGCCCTGGTAACAAAATGTATAGCTGAAGGCTCAATAGTCTTCAAGGGGCTGATGGTGTGATGTATGTTTCCTTCGACTCCATGCGTAGGTGGGGTCACACGGGGTCTGTGGTTTTCATCAGGTTACACTAGTGATTCTAGGAAAGCATCACATGATTATGTGTCTCTCTGCTGTTGCGCTTGTCATCACTTCCTTATTCTAGTAATGTTGCCTAAACTCATGTCAAGACTATCTCTTCTGAGTGCCAGGAATACCTTTTCTGAGTGCCGGGCACAAGCAGCCGGTCAGTAAATGTTTGTGAGATGGATATGTGGCTGGGAAACACGCCCGGGAGCTCGCCGTGGTTCCTCATTCCTCCTTCCATGGTCAGCATCTTCGTCTTACGTCCAAAAGGACACATATTCCTGAGCATTCCAGCTGCTTATTTACTTGTGTCTCCGTCTGGTATTAGGTAACCTCACTGCAGGCAGAGACGGCTCCTTGACTCTCTCACTAAGAGCTAACAGAATAGTTGGTACATGGTCAACGTTAATGTTTGTTCAATGAATAATTAATAGGTAAACAGGGCTGGGGTTACTATTCATATTTTACAAAGGAGGCCCCGAGAGGGAAAAATAACTTGCTGGTTGGAGACAACTTCTGGCATTGCCTGGGCTGACTCCTTCCTCTTCAACTTTTGGCAACTCTGCAAAGAATTCTTGGCCTTCTTTTTTTCTTTTCTGGAGTGTCTACTGAGCCCCTAGGAAGCTGGTTCTGGAAGGGAAGGAGAGGAAGCCCCTGCCATACCTCCGTGAGTGAGCTGCTACGCCAGGAAGGCGGTGGGGGAGAAAGGCTTTACGATGCTCAGGAGCGAGCTTTGCCAATGATGCTGTAATACCTGAATAAAGTAGGTATGATTATTATCTGCATTTTACAGACAAAGAAACTGAGGCTCAGAGAGCAAATGACTTGCCTGAGTGTAGCTCGGTTCATTTCAAGGCAGACTCAAAGTCAGGTCTGCTGGACCCCCAACACATGCTCTGGACCATCGCTTCCCAGTGCCTCCCTTGTGCATAGCTCTGAGCTCCGGGCTGCAGGAGGGAGGGCTCAGGACA